ATTGCGCATTTAAGTTTAATTTTGTTCCATTTGCTCTACTTGTGAACGTGTTTGCTCTATCGTAATGGCGCAATAAAGCGGAAAATGCACTCCGATAGTCTCATATGTTGTACGGGTTGTTTTACGATCGCACATCGAAGTTTCGCCTCTTTGGCATCGCAGAATGGCACGCGATGCAGAAGTAAGGAGGAGAGGAGGACCCTTGAAATGACGAAATGTTATAAGGACCTCCGTCGCGTATCGATTTTCGATAGATGATTATGAGAGCTATTGACGTACTGCGGCCAACCGCGTATTTTGCCGAATATACACATTGTCCGGTCGATCAAAGTATATTTTCTTTCCATATTGGAAATCTCGCATATACGATCACAAAAATAAAAAAAAAATCCAATGATAAGGCGAAGGGGATAAAAAGCTCGAGATATCGATAAAATATGATATATGAATTTTATTCTCAATAAAGATCCCTTGACTCAATTTAAAATATATATTTCGAAGCTTCAAGTTTATAAAGATTTGATAGGAAACCGCCTTCAAGCTTATTAATGAATCAGTCATTATTTCGCCGTCAGAAATTCAGTCAATTTCGTACAAAAAATGGAGTAAGCAATGTGTGTCACGGTTAAATCTATATCAAGAAGGGAATTTGCAACTGAAGACTGCCAGATGCTGTAACGCCAATAAGTTTTATATCACGACTTGACGACTGTCGCCCAGCTGTGCATGCGAGCCCACCCACGCGCTCGCTTCGCTGACACGTGCGATTTTAATCGCTTAATCGCATCATACCGAAGATCGAGGAGCTTTCTAGCAGATTCAATATGAACGTTGTATGGACTCAGCGAGAAGTAGTTTTCAATAAAACGCGTCTAGCTCGAATCGAATACCTTAGTTATACAATACAATCCACCTTCCTCCCGTATCTTTATGCTCCTAACAATGCATTATTGGTTGCAAGATCGAACGCTTTCTCGAATAATCGGATGCCATAAAAAAAGAAAAACGAAACGGTTTAAACGTTCCGAGTTGAGGAGTTAACAGATTTATGATATTAAACCGATATCTATTTTCTAAAATTTTAATTCCTTTTTCGGATCAATGATTAAAACATTTTTTAGACACAGAAAATGCTAATATAGACAAAACAAAAAATTTGTATTTTAATCATATACAATTGCCGTCAAATATATTTGTTGTCTAATCGCCTCGCCAATTTCATTTGACACTACATATAAAATAAATCAAGCAAAGATTTAGATTACACTATACTTAAAACTATACTTAAAACACAAAATGACTAATGCATTAAATTCTTATTCTTAGAATGCATTTTTACTGCAAATCGAAAATTGCATTGACGTAGCGTGCATAATAGAAACTTTAAAATCCTTAAATCGTAACTTTTAAAATTATTTTCATCATTCTTCAGAAATGTATTATATATATATTTTTCAGAGAATTTTATAATGCGGCGACAAAAACTGTAAGCAAATTATGTACAGTTTCAAATCAATGTATTACTAATATTTTAAGATACACTGATACTTTAAAAGATTGAGGAAATGAATAATTAAATTAATAGCTTACGAGTATATATTACATTAATGCAAAAAGAAATGAGTCAGGATCAACTCTTTTGTCTTCATGCTAATTCCCTGCGAGAAATTAATTCCGCGTTTTATTATTTTCTCTGATAAAAAAAAAACGTAGAGTTCTTAAGACCTCATAACATGCTTTGTCCTCTCTCTACACCGATTGTCGTTGGAGAGACGCATATGCTCTTTTCGCCACTAGCAGCGCGAAAGCTGGAGCTTTCAACGTGTGAGTATCGGTGTGTTCGCTTTTGCGCGAGAAGAACGGACATACGAGCAGCACAGAATCCTCTCCAAGGATAATGGTTGGACGAGAGGGCTCGAGAATGACCCAGGCGCGCCATATAGCTTGTATATCGCGAAACGCATCATTGAGCTGTCGCGGTCATTTTGTTTTACGCGTTCTGGTGAACGCTGAAAAGCGGGGAATAATTAATTTCATGCGCGTCGCTTCCGTTTCGGAAATTATCGAAAGTGCATCCGAATGTGGGAAAAATATTCGAATGCTGCCCCGGGCCGCACGTATAATTCACGTAAGCGCGCCACGTTCGGAATGCCGTGAATTGCACCGAATAAAGGCACGATTAACTGGCTTTGTTATCACGTAGACGTTATTTATATCTTTCTCATAGAGATAAAATACAGCGCATGAGCGGAAGCTTCCGCGTTGCTCACATCTCCCGCGTATATACGGTGTACGCTTTTAGAAAGTGTCGCTATCGATTCTTCTATGTATCTTGCTGCGCGGATAAAGGCCAGGATTAAACAGCATCTTTATAAACATTTCGCTAAAAGGGAATTTGAGAGCAGCCTATTAAAAAATGAAAAATCTTGTCTGCCCCTGTTAAGAGTGGAAAGCTAATCGAAGCGCAGGGGCTTAAAATTGTGCGCCGCGTATGGCGCAAGTATATAGAATCGCTGATGTTTCGCAACGTTGGATCTACCCTTTGAGAATGAATGATAGGTAAAAATAATGCCGCATACATCCGAAATGTTTCCCTGTGATCTTTGACGATCTGGCCCCGCGTTTAATCGTCGAAATGTGTTATGAATCTTTCTGACAGATCGCTCGACAAAGCTTTCGCCTTTATTTGTACAAGTGGCTTACTGTATACAAAACACGTATACAAAATAATATTGTATAATCTACGAGTATATTCATAATTATAACTTCTTTGACAAGCCTGTGGTAAATACATATTTCCTTGGAATAAATGGCAGGAAAGGCTTTTATATTCTGCACAATTTTTCATTATGGAATAAACTGATTGTGAGTAAATAAATCTTCAATTAAAATTTTAATTAAAGCAGTAACATTGCTTTTATCAAATTTAAATGTATTATTTGCGGTCATTGCATTTAATTGCAAATGACTGGTGTTGTTCAGTTTAAGTTAAGAAGGATAAAATTTCATGCTAAAATCGATAACTATGACACTTCTCGAGATAGATGCGAAAGCTATTGGAATGCCTAGCAATTTTTTTTTTTCGTTTTCCCTCAAATAAAGAGGATTCTGACCGTGGCTCATATAATATTTACCCGAAGCAGGTCGACAAATAATGCCGACACATTATTTCCCTCCTGCTACATCGCTTCCCATGCTATATCGCTCCCCAAGGCGAAGGGTACATACGCATCTGCATTACGTATTACAATTTTTATTCTTCGTGACATCGTAAAATTGATACGTAGCCTTCAACGCTCCTATACCTTCGTCTTCAACGTGCCTCCTCTCGCGGCGGAACAGAACGAGAGATGCTGAGTAAACAATCTTGAGTAAAGTAACTTTAGGTCGCGAGATATCTTGATTCCCAAGTATTAGAAATCATAATTACAAGGAGATTTCTTATTGAAATATTTGAACGTTTAAAGAATTGAGACGCTTAATTTGTCGAGAAACAGGAATCCCGAAATCGCGTTTGGCTTCGTGAGATATACGTGCAGCTTGAAAAGCTGTCTCTAAAAAATTTAGCAAATTCGTTATTCTAATCCTGTTACTTATAACCGTTCCTTATTATTCTAATTCTGTTGCTGCCTGTTCCTTAAACTCGCGAACAGTGAGTATTACCGAAAGACAAATACTTAGAATAAGCCGGTTTCGAATTTGTTGCTCGACAGATTCACAGAACCTGTCACGTGATATCACGTTACACTTGATAAATCTGAGTTACATCGCACGTCCTAATACGCGTTATCAATAACTCTTTCAGGGGGCTCCCCCGCGGAAATGGAAAATGCCGCGAATTGATTTCACCGAAGGCGCGTTCTCGTACACAGTTTCACGCTTGGACGCGCTACGAAGTTCTATTTCATCGAATGTGTCGGAGTCCTGATTCGCGGCTGTCTCCGCGTTTTATCGGAGTACCCGTTCTGTCTCCACGATTCATTCCATTCTACTTTTGAAACGACGATAACGTATATTAACTTCAGGAAAACGCTTCATTAAGTCTGAAGTTGAGGAAAACGGTACTTTCGAGATGATATTTTTGGCCACATATTTTGCCGCAAAACGTCCCTCCCTCTTGCCCCTCCCCTCTCCCCGAGCGACGGAGGCAGCGTCTGCCTAATTAATCGCGCGAGTTCTTTACTCTGAATTATTAACGCCGCGTCACATTCGCCCCCGCTCCGTTTATCACTTAATGCCTCCTGCCCGCTTTATCGTCATTCACGGTCGCTGAATTTGACTTTTAAATCGCACTCGTGTGCCCGCTAGCGGAAAACGGGGGCGTGCACGCATCGCCCCCGTTTTTTTTCTTCCCCTCCTCACCCCCCCCC